CAACAGTAGTAGGAATAGTACCAACAGCAGTGGGAATAGTACCAACAGCAGTAGGAATAGTACCAACAGCAGTAGGAATAGTACCAACAGTAGTAGGAAGTCACAACAGTAGTAGGAATAGTACCAACAGCAGTAGGAATAGTACCAACAGCAGTGGGAATAGTACCAACAGCAGTAGGAATAGTACCAACAGCGGTAGGAATAGTCCCAACAGCAGTAGGAATAGTCCCAACAGCAGTAGGAATAGTACCAACAGCAGTAGGAATAGTACCAACAACAGTAGGAATAGTACCAACAGTAGGAATAGTACCAACAGTAGTAGGAATAGTACCAACAACAGTAGGAAGTCACAACAGTAGTAGGAATAGTACCAACAACAGTGGGAATAGTTCCAACAGCAGTAGGAATAGTCACAACAGTAGTGGGAATAGTCACAACAGTAGGAATAGTCACAACAGTAGTAGGAATAGTACCAACAGCAGTAGGAATAGTACCAACAGCAGTGGGAAGCAGTACCAACAATAGTAGGAATAGTACCAACAGCAGTAGGAATAGTACCAACAGTAGGAATAGTCCCAACAGTAGTAGGAATAGTTCCAACAGTAGTAGGAATAGTACCAACAGCAGTGGGAAGCAGTACCAACAATAGTAGGAATAGTACCAACAACAGTGGGAATAGTTCCAACAGCAGTAGGAATAGTACCAACAGCAGTGGGAAGCAGTACCAACAACAGTAGGAATAGTCCCAACAGCAGTAGGAATAGTACCAACAACAGTAGGAATAGTACCAACAGCAGTGGGAAGCAGTACCAACAACAGTAGGAATAGTACCAACAACAGTAGGAATAGTTCCAACAGTAGTAGGAATAGTACCAACAACGGTAGGAATAGTACCAACAGCAGTAGGAATAGTTCCAACAGCAGTAGGAATAGTACCAACAGCAGTGGGAATAGTACCAACAGTAGTAGGAATAGTACCAACAGCAGTGGGAATAGTACCAACAACAGTGGGAATAGTCACAACAGTAGTAGGAATAGTACCAACAGCAGTAGGAATAGTACCAACAACAGTGGGAATAGTACCAACAACAGTGGGAATAGTTCCAACAGCAGTAGGAATAGTACCAACAACAGTAGGAATAGTACCAACAGCAGTGGGAAGCAGTACCAACAACAGTAGGAATAGTACCAACAACAGTAGGAATAGTTCCAACAGCAGTAGGAATAGTACCAACAGCAGTGGGAATAGTCCCAACAGCAGTAGGAATAGTCCCAACAGCAGTAGGAATAGTTCCAACAGTAGTAGGAATAGTACCAACAGCAGTGGGAATAGTACCAACAGCAGTAGGAATAGTACCAACAGCAGTAGGAAAAGTACCAACAGTAGTAGGAAGTCACAACAGTAGTAGGAATAGTACCAACAGCAGTAGGAATAGTACCAACAACAGTGGGAATAGTTCCAACAGCAGTAGGAATAGTCACAACAGTAGTGGGAATAGTCACAACAGTAGTAGGAATAGTACCAACAGCAGTAGGAATAGTACCAACGGCAGTGGGAAGCAGTACCAACAATAGTAGGAATAGTACCAACAGCAGTAGGAATAGTACCAACAGTAGGAATAGTCCCAACAGTAGTAGGAATAGTTCCAACAGTAGTAGGAATAGTACCAACAGCAGTGGGAAGCCGTACCAACAATAGTAGGAATAGTACCAACAACAGTGGGAATAGTTCCAACAGCAGTAGGAATAGTACCAACAACAGTAGGAATAGTACCAACAGCAGTGGGAAGCAGTACCAACAACAGTAGGAATAGTACCAACAACAGTAGGAATAGTTCCAACAGTAGTAGGAATAGTACCAACAACAGTAGGAATAGTACCAACAGCAGTGGGAATAGTACCAACAACAGTGGGAATAGTCACAACAGTAGTAGGAATAGTACCAACAACAGTGGGAATAGTTCCAACAGCAGTAGGAATAGTCACAACAGTAGTGGGAATAGTCACAACAGTAGGAATAGTCACAACAGTAGTAGGAATAGTTCCAACAGCAGTAGGAATAGTACCAACAGCAGTGGGAAGCAGTACCAACAATAGTAGGAATAGTACCAACAGCAGTAGGAATAGTACCAACAGTAGGAATAGTCCCAACAGTAGTAGGAATAGTTCCAACAGTAGTAGGAATAGTACCAACAGCAGTGGGAAGCAGTACCAACAATAGTAGGAATAGTACCAACAACAGTGGGAATAGTTCCAACAGCAGTAGGAATAGTACCAACAACAGTAGGAATAGTACCAACAGCAGTGGGAAGCAGTACCAACAACAGTAGGAATAGTACCAACAACAGTAGGAATAGTTCCAACAGTAGTAGGAATAGTACCAACAACGGTAGGAATAGTACCAACAGCAGTAGGAATAGTTCCAACAGCAGTAGGAATAGTACCAACAGCAGTGGGAATAGTACCAACAGTAGTAGGAATAGTACCAACAGCAGTGGGAATAGTACCAACAACAGTGGGAATAGTCACAACAGTAGTAGGAATAGTACCAACAGCAGTAGGAATAGTACCAACAACAGTGGGAATAGTACCAACAACAGTGGGAATAGTTCCAACAGCAGTAGGAATAGTACCAACAACAGTAGGAATAGTACCAACAGCAGTGGGAAGCAGTACCAACAACAGTAGGAATAGTACCAACAACAGTAGGAATAGTTCCAACAGCAGTAGGAATAGTACCAACAGCAGTGGGAATAGTACCAAGAGCAGTGGGAATAGTCCCAACAGCAGTAGGAATAGTCCCAACAGCAGTAGGAATAGTTCCAACAGTAGTAGGAATAGTACCAACAGCAGTGGGAATAGTACCAACAGCAGTAGGAATAGTACCAACAGCAGTAGGAATAGTACCAACAGTAGTAGGAAGTCACAACAGTAGTAGGAATAGTACCAACAGCAGTAGGAATAGTACCAACAGCAGTGGGAATAGTACCAACAGCAGTAGGAATAGTACCAACAGCGGTAGGAATAGTCCCAACAGCAGTAGGAATAGTCCCAACAGCAGTAGGAATAGTACCAACAGCAGTAGGAATAGTACCAACAACAGTAGGAATAGTACCAACAGTAGGAATAGTACCAACAGTAGTAGGAATAGTACCAACAACAGTAGGAAGTCACAACAGTAGTAGGAATAGTACCAACAACAGTGGGAATAGTTCCAACAGCAGTAGGAATAGTCACAACAGTAGTGGGAATAGTCACAACAGTAGGAATAGTCACAACAGTAGTAGGAATAGTACCAACAGCAGTAGGAATAGTACCAACAATAGTAGGAATAGTACCAACAACAGTAGGAATAGTACCAACAACAGTGGGAATAGTTCCAACAGTAGTAGGAATAGTACCAACAACGGTAGGAATAGTACCAACAGCAGTGGGAAGCAGTACCAACAACAGTAGGAATAGTACCAACAACAGTAGGAATAGTTCCAACAGTAGTAGGAATAGTACCAACAACGGTAGGAATAGTACCAACAGCAGTAGGAATAGTTCCAACAGCAGTAGGAATAGTACCAACAGCAGTGGGAATAGTACCAACAGTAGTAGGAATAGTACCAACAGCAGTGGGAATAGTACCAACAACAGTGGGAATAGTCACAACAGTAGTAGGAATAGTACCAACAGCAGTAGGAATAGTACCAACAACAGTGGGAATAGTACCAACAACAGTGGGAATAGTTCCAACAGCAGTAGGAATAGTACCAACAACAGTAGGAATAGTACCAACAGCAGTGGGAAGCAGTACCAACAACAGTAGGAATAGTACCAACAACAGTAGGAATAGTTCCAACAGCAGTAGGAATAGTACCAACAGCAGTGGGAATAGTACCAACAGCAGTAGGAATAGTACCAACAGCAGTAGGATTAGTACCAACAGTAGTAGGAAGTCACAACAGTAGTAGGAATAGTACCGACAGCAGTAGGAATAGTACCAACAGCAGTGGGAATAGTACCAACAGCAGTAGGAATAGTACCAACAGCGGTAGGAATAGTCCCAACAGCAGTGGGAATAGTACCAACAGCAGTAGGAATAGTACCAACAGCGGTAGGAATAGTCCCAACAGCACTAGGAATAGTCCCAACAGCGGTAGGAATAGTCCCATCAGCAGTAGGAATAGTCCCAACAGCGGTAGGAATAGTCCCATCAGCAGTAGGAATAGTCCCAACAGGAGTAGGAACAATCCAATCAGCAGTAGGAATAGTACCATCAGCAGTAGGAATAGTCCCAACAGCAGTGGGAATAGTACCAACAGCAGTAGGAACAATCCCATCAGCAGTAGGAACAATCCCATCAGCAGTAGGAATAGTACCAACAGCGGTAGGAATAGTACCAACAGCAGTAGGAATAGTCCCAACAGGAGGAACAGCAGTAGGTAACGGTACCAACAGAAGTAGGTAACGGCATCAACAGCAGTAGGAGTAGTCCCGGTACCAACAACAGCAGGAGTAGCCCGGCGGTATCAGTAGCAGCAGTCATAGTAGTACCTGCAGCAGTAGGTGCAGTACCGGTATCAGCAGCAGCAGGGTTAGTACCTGTGGTTATGAGGAGTATCAGTATGAGTATCGGTATGAGTAGTACCTGTGGTATGAGTCTGAGTAGTATGAGTACTATATGTAGTAGTATGAGTCTGAGTAGTACCTGTAGTATGAGTAGTACCTGTAGTAGTATGAGTACTATATGTAGTAGTATGAGTCTTAGTACCTGTAGTATGAGTACTATATGTAGTAGTATTTGTGTGGTTTGAGGCTCAGCAGTGGTGGCTGAGCCGTCGCGGGCTGAAGCTGTCACCGGAAGTGGCCGCGCGGCTTCCGCGTCACCGGAAGTGATTTGCCCGTTCGAAGTTTTCGCGCGCCCCCGAATCGTCGCCGGCGTCGTCGCCTCACAGTCGCTCCCCCCTCAGTCGTTACCCTCTCTCCCCTCAGTCCCTTCAGTCGCTCCCCTCACAGTCGCTCCCCCCACAGTCGTTACCCTCTCTCCCCTCAGTCCCTTCAGTCGCTCCCCTCACAGTCGCTCCCCCCACAGTCGCTCCCCCCACAGTCGCTCCCCCCACAGTCGCTCCCCTCTCAGTCGTTACCCTCCCAGTCTCTCCCCACAGTCGCTCCCCTCACAGTCGCTCTCCCCACAGTCGCTCTCCCCACAGTCGTTACCCTCTAATCTCACAGTCGTTACCTTCTCAGTCGCTCCCCTCTACTCTCCTCACAGACGCCCATTTGACGCCCCGTGTGCCCTCGTCGTCGTCGTCCTCGCTACTCTCACTGTCAGCCCACCGCCGGGCGATGGGCCTCTGTCGATAGGGGCAGCCGCGTTAGTCGTCTGGCCACGCTCCTCCGCCAGGCCGCCCGGCCCGAGCGCGCCGCTGACGTTTTGGTAGCCCTGGCCCGGGAATTTGCAGGACTCTGGTTGTCGTGTGCCCCACAACCGGTGCCGCGCGTGCATGCGCGCGCCACAACCGCAGCGCCACCGCTCCTCCCCCTCATTCCTCTCCCAGCTCGCTGCTCAGCAGCTGACGCCGCGGGGTTTTCCGCCGCTGCGGTTTTTGATGCTTGCCAGTGAGAAAGTTTCCCGTTCCAGCTGTCGTCTCTTTGTGCTCGGCCCTCGCAAACCGCAGCTGTTTGCTGCCGATGCTGCTGATGCTGCTTCTGCTGCCACTTCTGCAAATGTTTTCCCGCCCACTGAATTATCGCTGAAGCCGCTTTCCGTTTAGCAACTTTGCCCGCTCGCTACTGCTGAGACGCAGTAAGGCGGCAGTGAGCGGTGTGGGGTAGCCGCTGCTTAGGATCAATCCCGTAGCCTGTTGAGGGTTGTTGGCTGTCATTGCTGTGTGAGCGGCTCCTTACTGCTGCGGCTTGGACGCAGGCGTGAAATTAACTCTTGTCGAGGGTTAGGAGCGTTCGTTATCCACTCTGTGTTCCCGCTGCAACACTCGGCGGCTGTAAGGAGGAGGTGGTGGTGCGTGGTTAGGGATGTTGGCGACTCTTGCCGCTATAGCGCTCATTTATTGAACTCGTTTTCATTTAGAACTGCTTTGTGTGTTTAGTGTGTTGTCCTTTCCCACCCCGCACCTCCGTTGTGCACGGTTGGCTACGTACGGTGCGAAAGAAGTTCAACATGTGCCATTGCGCATAATGCAAACACACTGCAGTATAGCGTATGTGTCGATAGTGGCTGCTTTTGCTAGTGGGATGCTATAGCTCACAGAGGGTGGCTGCTCCTGACAGTATTACTTGTAGAATATTATAGACTGCAGAAAGTGGTAGCTGTTGCTAAGAGTTCCTCTGCTACTGTCAGAGCGTTATCATTTTGTGGATGGTGGTGGCTGCTACGGTTAGTGGTTACCCCCTGCTCGTGCCATTGCTGCTGTAGCAGCGCTCCTAAACAGTCCTGTGGAAGATTAGCGGTGGCTGCTGCTGTTGTTGAATCGCCACCATGGTGGAGGGTCCTGGGTGCACGCTGAACGGAGAGAGGATCAAGGTCAGGGTTCGAGTCTCCCAGACGGTGCTGAGCACGAGAACAGCGGCGTCTGGAGTTGCAGTCCACCAGCAGCAGCAGCGCGTGAGTTCCTCCAACTCATCCAGGGCCTACGAAACAAACATTTTGACTGTGTTTTGTTTATATGTATGATTAACGAAAACATGTTTAACCCAGGTATCTTCTTGAATACATATACGTATATAGTAAGGATAGGCAAAGTGTATATACAAGAGGCAGAGTCATGGCAATGTCAATCTTTTTTTTCCATAAGGTGAGCGAAATTAGCACCGGATATTAACTTTGAGAGATTTTTTTTAATTGCAAAATTTACATTTTCAAATGGTGTTTTTCGCACAATCAAGCGAGTGCCTAGGCCCAACAACCTTAATCCAGCCACTGAACTCATCCCCATGCATTGCACTGTTTTTGATTCACAGCCTGGCACAACGCATCCAGTTCACGCCTCGATAATGCACTGCGGCTACTGCAGTCACGTGCCACCATCCGATTTACTTTGCCACAATTTAGGCCAACCCTAGACAGCGTGGTATAACCAGGCAATCTAGCAAACAAGTAATCACCCGGCTGAAACCTGCTTAGCCTTCTCCAAGACCTATTAACCTCCTCAATGGCGTGGCGTGATTGGTATGGGCACCTAGTGGAAGTAAACTAAACAACATATTTTTTTATTTTACTAGGTAAGAGCCACTGAGATATATAGCACTTTTAATTTCGCCACCGTGGCGAGATGAAGGCCCGTGAAATGAGGGCCTCCTGTCCAGTTCTGCCCCTGCCCACGCAGCACCTAGTGGAAGTAAACTAAACAACATATTTTTTTATTTTACTAGGTAAGAGCCACTGAGATATATAGCTCTTTTAATTTCGCCACCGTGGCGAGATGAAGGCCCGTGAAATGAGGGCCTCCTGTCCAGTTCTGCCCCTCCCCCCTGCCCACGCAGCTCTTCGTAGTCCGACACCTGGACTCCGGTGCAGTTGCACCGCCTGTACACACTATAGCTGCATTACTGCATCTTTACACTGTAAAGTGACGTTCGTTCGCACTCGAAAGCCAAACACGAACTCTGCTCCCAATCCTCCCCGTGCCTCTTTCTCAGCCGTGCAAGGCGGCCTCGCAGGGCGCAGCAGCAGGAAGAGGATGGTGCCCAGCCGGGCAGCTCTCAAGCCTCACGGGGCAGCAGTACACGGGCGTGGAGACCCTGGGCAAGGAGCTGTTCCTCTACTTCCAAGAGAGCGCACTACGGTAGGCACTGCCAGGGCTGCAGCGATAGTGGTGGGGGGCAGGTGGGGCAGTTTGCCCCTGGCCTCGGGACTGAGGAGACCTCCGAAAGAGCCAAGGGGGGGGGGGGCCCTCGTCTGGAGTTTTGCACTGAGCCTCCAAAAATCTTATTGCCACCCTGGGGACCGACTACACATTGGGCCTGTTGGGAGTGGCAGGTGGGTTGAGGTCGTTTCCTGGAGAGAGGAAAAAAAAGATAACCTATAAAAGCTCACGGTACAAAAATACGTGTTTTTTGAGAGGAGACAGATTACATGAATCGATTGTGTGAATTATTAAATAAAATTCGTGGGAAGATGGTACAATGAAATGTACATTATTTTATATATTCTTTGTCAATGTTCCATGTTTCTGATCCATTGTCATAGCAGTTAGTATACATGAATTGAAATGTTCTCTCAATTTGAATCATTTTAATACCAAACTGCCTTTCATAATTTCGCTTGGAATCCACATTGTGGTGTTTCTCGGTAGTGTACCTCCAGCAATGTCCGTTACATAATCTATGCACATGCTTGATTTTTGCCCACTCACTGTACAGTAATATTACTATAAAGCCTCTGCTGTAAGTTCCAGTGCAGTAGCAGAACAGCAATAACAGCCACCATAAGTGCCGTTGACGTCACCATGGCGCTTGTGCCAGGCAAGGTGCACTTTGATGCTATGTCAAGCGTGGAAGGTTCGCTGGCAGGAGGTTACAGGACAGACCAAGGTTGTTGAGTTGACTGAGATGATTGACAGATGCACTAGCTGTGCTTACGATTAGATCACAGACACTGCAGTGTTCGTTCAACTTGGCTCTCTCCCACATAGGGTGCACTTTGGCATGAATGGTTCCATGAGAATCAACTCTGGGGCCGAGGGCCGGGCTCAGCGTCCACCCGCCCTGGAAGTCGTCCTCAGCAGCGACCGCATCTTCTTCTACGACTCCACCTTTGATGTCAGGTGCTGACGCAGACCTCGCCCTACGGGGGATTGACAAAAGGACTGCGCTACATGTGCTGACGCTGCTAAAGACGGTGGGCAGTAGAGGTCGTGTTCACTTCTGAGCGACGAGTCAAGGATGGCTGCTGGAGCAGAGGGTGCATGGAGGCGGGCAGAGGGAGATTATCGGGGAGAGGTAGGAGAGTGCTTGGAGGTGAGTAGAGTGAGATGAGAGGGGAGAGGTAGGAGAGTGCGTGATGGGGAGTAGAGTGAGATGAGAGGGGAGAGGTAGGAGAGTACGTGGAGGGGAGTATAGTGAGATGAGAAGGAAGAGGTGGAAGAGTGAGTGGAGCGGAATAGAGTGAGATGAGAGGTAGGCGGTACAAGTTCATGGAGAATCCAGAAGGCATTGGGTGTGATCTTAAAATTGATCTAGGATTGGATTGGGAGCCAGCGGAGAAGTCTGAGTACTGGGGTGAGGCGATCTTGGTTACGGATGCGGGTGAGAAGTTTGGCAGTGGCATTTTTAATTGTCTGGAATTTGAAAAAAATGAGGGATTTGTAGAGGCCCCAGAGGCGCTCGTGAACAGGCACTTTCCCCGGAGCAGCCCAGTCTGTAGAACCCTGCACTCGGTGTGACCGTTGCCTTTGCGCGAAATGGTAGGTCGGCTGAAGCGTGTCGCGAGCGCGTACGGGCGCAGGGGGACCTGGACGTCTGCTCGGCGCGGTTCGACGTGGAGAGGGCCTGCACGGAACTGGGAGCCCACTCGGGCCGCATGCTGTGCGACGTGCTGCTCGATCAGGCGCTGCTGCCCGGCGTCGGCAACATCATCAAGAACGAGGGGCTCCTGGACAGCGGTCTCCACCCAGCCATTACGGTGTGAACAGGCGGCGGAAGAACCACAGAAGCCTTGGCGTCGCCACTTCTTGTTGGGCATTTCTAAACAGTTTTTTTTAAGGCGCATCTGCCAAGTGGTGGCATTTAAGAGCACCCGGAGAAAGCTAAGCAGGAATTTGAGGCTAGTTGGTAGGTCATCGTAAGGCTATCTGGTAACACCAGGTGGTGTATCCTTTAGGCTATGGTGGCGGCGGCGGCCACGAGATGGCAGCTCAATAATTTAATTCTTGAAGCCATGAGTGGGTTGACATGAAGGGGGCAGTATTTCTCACTGAATATTTTCTGGGTCACTGACACTGGATTAGGTGGCACAGGAGCCATAGCGAGTTATATACTGGATGTGATGTGCCGCGTGCAGAGATATTTTCTGGGACACTGATGCCGCCAGACCCCGGAAACAATGAAGCCCTGGCCTCCACTTATTGAACTTCCACGAATTATAGAGATTGGTGGCATAATGTGGGAACATTTTGAATATTTAGCATATTGCCGCCATACAATGTGCGAAATGCTGCCTGCTTCGTTAATGTCTCCTATTCTTAAACCTTGCTTTAGTCCATCTTGCCTGGAAACTGTTCCTGGAGAAAAACTAAAGACTCCTACACTGTGAATGCCTGGAGTCTAATCAAAACACATTTACACTTGGTCTAGAATGATGGTGTTTCGCCATTTATTCTGGCAACTCATGAGTGGAATTGCCTTTGTGCAAACACATACTGTTGGTGTTTTTAAACAGTAAGCTTACTTATTCTTAGCTCTTTCGGTAAAGTCACGTTGAAGGGAAACAATAAAATAATAAAATATATATAAAACAATAAAAAAATTCTCACGACGTTTCGACCACAACACAAACGGTCGTCATCAGGTGTCAAAAAACCAACGGCAAGAAACATTTGAAAGAAGTGTCGGTTTGCATTAATTAATTTATTTTTAAACGGTGTATTTATTTATAAAAAACGTCAGCGCCACACGCAGCGATTTGGCAGTTTATTTGGAAGGACTAGTCCATCTATGTTCTGAAAAGGAGGGGGGAGACGAAAAATTCATGTATGCTGTCTGAAAGCCACCGTAAGCGTGAACAATCAATTAAGACCTGAAATGGTTAATCAAATCCTTCCAATGATTGCTAAGCCAGAATCCATCTTCTCGGTTGAAATTGTCTCTGTGCTTGTATATGTGGATAGCCTCATGAACGAATCTCTCATGGTAGCCAGATGGCTATCCACATATACAAGCACAGAGACAATTTCAACCAAGAAGATGGATTCTGGCTTAGCAATCATTGGAAGGATTTGATAAACCATTTCAGGTCTTAATTGATTGTTCACGCTTAGTGGCTTTCAGACAGCATACATTAATTTTTCGTCTCCCCCCTCCTCTTCAGAACATAGATGGACTAGTCCTTCTAAATAAACTGCCAAATCGCTGCGCTTGGCGCTGACGTTTTTAATAAATAAATAAGTACACCGTTTAAAAGTAAATTATTTAATGCGGACCGCCACTTCTTTCAAATGTTTTTTGCCGTTGTTTTTTTCACACCTGATGACGACTGTTTGCGTTGTGGTCGAAACGTCGTGAGAATTGTTTTTATTGTTTTATATATATATTTTTTATTGTTTCCCTTCAACGTGACTTTACCGAAAGAGCTAAGAATATGAATTACTGCAGTCACGAAAGCTTTAAATCAAAAGTAAGCTTACTTTTCTTCTATTTTGTTTTTAGAGTCTTAAAAAAAGTTCAGTCCATAGCTAATCCACTCCTGTGTGAACGCCTGCCCATGCCATGTTGGTCATGCAAATTTGTTTGACCATACTTCACCACACTGGTCAATCGTGCAGGTTTGGTGAAAGTAGGTGCCCAGAACTGATTTAGATATCACTCGTCACTGATGTCATCCGTGGCTTCACTTGACCATTAAAACTCTCTTTGTTGCTTTTGTGATGTTCTTGTTTTTTCAGGTGAGCCAACTGAGCTTGGAGCAGATCAAACACCTTGTTAAAATGACCAGGGATTTCTCTCTGCTTTTCTATCAGGTGTGGTCCTGGTGGCAAGCAACAAACAAATCACCGATTCACCAGAGCCAGCACTTACTCATCATACCGGGGCGCACAACATACCGACTGCACACCTATGGATAGTTTCTATCAGGGGGTCGACAACCTGTGGCTCGGGAGCCGCATGCGGCTCTTTAAGTGACTGCTTCGTGACCGTTATTTATTAAGGACCGCCACCGTCTTGGATTCACCCACAGTGCACTGCGGCTCTGAAATAGAGATGTATACCGAATATGAAAAAAATGTATCCTGTTATTTTGGTTGCCGACCCCTGCTTTATAACAACGATAATAACACGTGAATAATTTCAAGCCCTTCATCAAGCCGCTGTTGCATGAAAGGATTTCCCGCGCCGATAAGTCATTGTGGTAGTATAACCATACTTTACCAAGCTGGTCAGGGCGGACCATATTTATTTAATTAGCGAGCCATGTCAAGTGAATGCCATAAGCCCTGTGAAGCGAAGTTCGCAGGCTGTTAGAAGTTAACTCCACAGGCCACGTGAATGAAGTCATTTGCAGTATAAAATTAAGTCGAGGGTCGTACGAAATGAATTCGTGAGCAGTACAAAATTAAGCTACGGGCCGTAATAAACAAAGTTTGCGGGCCATACGTAATGAAGTCGTGGGCCGGTGAAGATTCCCCACTCCCTATATTGACAATGCGCTTTTGTTACCCAGTGCCGGAAGACGGGCTCGGCGCTGCAGAAGCACTGCAGGGTGTACAAACGCAGCGCGTGTGGGCAGTGCCGGACCCGCGTGGTCGTGTGCCGGCTCGGGGAGAATGGGCGCATGACGTACTTCTGCCCACACTGCCAGCACGAGGATCCACGGCACGTCGACCCCAGGTAGCGAGGGTCTCCCGTTTCAAACCCCGACGAGGTGTCATCACCGTCACTTCAATAATTAACGAGTTGTCAAACGCACGCTGGTTTTGGTATGTGACGGTGTAGTTCAAGAACTATACCGTCAAGAACTCTGCTGTAAACTCACGATGTTTCCCCCTAAACAGCAAACTCCAGCACAGAAACAACAGCCTTCTGGCCTGGGTGCAAGGAGGCAGGCCGGACACCGCCGAGGTCGGCAGGCAGGACGTTGCGTCGCGAGCCGAGGAGGAGTGGGCCTGCGCCGTCTGCACGCTCGTCAACCGCGGCTCCGACGCGGCTTGCGACGCCTGTCTCACCCAGCGACCTCCCCGTGCGTCGCCACTCCACCATGGCCCTTTGCTCACGAACACTTTGTGGTTTTTAGTTTTCAGCATCTTGTGCTGAATCTTTCAACGTCAAGTTTTAACGTTTGTTTAAGCTTTCCAACGAAGGTTAAAAGCAAATTATCGTCGGCTCTGTGTGTCCACCTGTCTATAACAAGCGGATGTGATAACGCGCGCAACAACTATCCAAAGTTGCGTTGCTATTAGGGACATGCCCCAGAGGAAAGCTGTCCAAATTGACCGAAGAATTTACCAATACTTGGGAGACCAAAACTAGAGCTAAAAGGACCACTTGCAGTTCTGCAAACCTGATAAGTCTAATGCAAATATGTGGCATGCTTTGGTAAGAAAGATCCCTGACAGCTACATGCGTTGGCTCCCGTATTGCTAAGTATATACTTCCGAGAACATACGCACGTTGTAAACCGATCGATGTTTCGTGATTTATTCTCACTTATTTTACACCTGGAGCTCGTGGGAAGTCATCCGTAGTTGCCCTATGGCCATATTCACAGGCGATGTTCACCACCTTGTGCTCGTTTGAGCAGAAAAGCACGCAGACATTTTTGTTTGGGTTGGGTTGGTTGCTTTAGAGTTCTCATTAAAGAGGAGAATGTATTCCTGTTCCTGTGCAGCGGAGCCTCAGGCAGACTGCACGGAGCACTGCTCCACGCTGCATGACGACCGTCTCATGCTGTACCCGTGCAACGCCTTCCCAAGGCCGTGCGTGGTGACCAAAGTCAACCGACGCACGGCGTTTGGTACGGCCACGCTCATCGTCACCTCTCCTGGGTCGCCCCCTGGCCCTCCCGCGCGGGACGCCCCGTTCGGAGCAGGGGGCTCGTCGGACTCGCGCCAGGTAAAGAGTTCTGCGGGGCAATCGAAGCCTCCCGTGATCTCAGAAGGTAGACTCAAAACTAAACCAAGTGCGCAAAATATTGTGCAAAATCGCGTGGATTACTTAGCGCTTTCCAACGTGTCTTTGTAAGTATTAAACTGAACTATTTTATAGAAACTAAACTTTTTATTTTACCAGGGAAGGGCCCACTGAGCTGTATAGATATTTTTGCAGAAGCAACCTGGCCCCAAATGATAGCTGAACAAAGTGGCTTATCGCGTGCAAATTTATAGCAGCCAAGTACTCTGAACGCACGTTGATTGTAAATGTGGAGTAAAAAACCGGAGGACCCGGAGAACATTGAAACTCCAAATATACAGCAGGCGTCAGGATCGGGATGAAGCCCACGAGCCCCTCCATACCAGGCACGGTAGTTAACATCTCGCCACTGTGAGCAGGACGGAAGTTGGCAGGCAGCTGTCAGGTGAAAATACGTCTATTTTTTTAAATTGTCCTTTTCGCTCTGGTTTGTGCCTCTTGATTTTGATTAATATGCTCGGTTTTCAATCTGGTAGGTCCCTAATAGCAACACAACTTCATATTAAAGTGTTGTTCATATTGGTTCTCATTCAAGAGTTGTTTGTCCCCCACACCATTATAGATGGAGCCATAGTTGAAAATCGTTCAACAATTCTCCATTCACCACTAAAGAGTGTTCAGTGCAACAAATTACATCATATCAACAGAGCCCTAACCCAGAAGTGATTTGTTCTGTTCACAGGCGGTGAGCTGGAATGAACGTGCGAATGCCAGAAGCCCTCTGAAAACAGCACCACGCACACCCAGACCGGCGGCTCCATTCCATGCCCCCCAAGCATTTAAGAGATTCAAGCCCAATTTTGTGGACAGAACACCCAACAATCGCGGCCAAAATTCCGGGTACGTTAAGCCTGTGAAATCGACCTCATTTTAACACATGATCCTGCACCTACATCCGGAACCTGTAGCATGAAAATGGGTTTCATTCCAAACCATGATCACACGAGGAGAAACGGCTCACGCCATAGTTGTCCGCGCAGCAAGGATCTTCGCCGCACTAATCGGGTAATGCAGGGGAATGTTTTTGACCTGGCAACACTGCCGTTTCTAATTTTAGAGTGCCCGGTCAGTTCGGTCACTGACTCTTGATAATTACAGAAGTAACTTAGATGTGTGTTAGTGTGTGATTACCAGTGAAGGGCATTTTAAAGTTGCATTCAGCTTTCAGGAAGGATTACATTTCCCCAACCAGAGTTGGCACAGATTTTTTAAACTATATAACTACAGAGGTTTCATGCCGTTGTGCTATACATCACAACCGTGAATTCAGTTCCTGAAAAAGCTCCCAGGTCATGGAGCAAAAAGTCAGATATTGTCACCAATCAACACACAATGCGATCCAAATCATATTGGAGAACTGATGTGTATATATATGAGTGGTGGGTTAAAGTATAGGTACTCTCACCGCTTACAAAGTAAAACTATCTTATTTTACCAGGTAAGGCCCACTGAGCTATATAGCTCTTTTTCAGAAGCGACCAGGCCACAAATGATAGCTCAACGTAGTGGCTTACCACGTGGAAATTTCTAGCAGCCAAACACTCTAAACGCGTGTTTCTAAATGTGGAGGGAAAAACTGGAGGACCCGGAGAAAAATCCACACGACCACGGAGAGAACATACAAACTCCATATATAAAGGCGTTAGGGTCAGGATTGAGCCCACGACCTCCTGTTTACCAGGCGAGGTAGTTAACATCTTGCCACCATGGCTCCAGCATTGAATAGGCCAAAATACCCTGGAGCTCCTTACAGTGGAGGGCGCTTCCGTCAACTGGGGCGTGCGCAAGCACTCTGAGGGCTCTACCTTTCGCCTTTCTAGAGCATCAATTCTAAGCCACCGTGCGTTTTCCTGGCAGTGAAATCCCCGATGCGAGCGGGGCAGCGGCGCGCGATGGCACCGTGGCACGCTGCAGGGGCCACGACCGCCCATGCGCGCTGCACGTTGTGCAGAAAGCCGGGCCCAACAGGGGCCGGCACTTCCACGCCTGCGCCCTCCCGCAGAAGCAGCAGTGCCAGCACTTCGAGGTGAGCCACTTCTGGCCCTAAGCTGCAGGAGATCTCGCGCTCGGCCGCTGACAGCCCCACCTGGCTGTCGTCGTTAATGGGGTGGTTGCTCGTGTTGTGATCTGTGTGTGTGTGTGTGGTTATGTGTATGCGTCTGTAGGGCCACTTACCCCCTCGTGTGCCATTCTGGGCTTCATTGGTGCTAAAAGCACTTGCCCCAAATGTACGTTAACACTATATGGGCGATATTTGTCTTTGTGCGCCTCCTACCCGTGCAGTGGGCCGACCTGCACTTCCCAGAGTGCGATCATGGCCTGCGCTGCGTCATGCGCACCGTCCTCAAGCTGGGCCCCAACAACGGACGCAACTTCTACGCCTGCGCGCAGGGGCGCGACCGCCAATGCGCATTCTTCCAGTGGGCGGACGGGGCATCTGGCGTACACGCCTTGCCCGGCTGCTAAAAGGGGTTTGTCTCAGAGCAGTCCAGAATTACCTGGCATAGGGCACCACGGTGGCGAGATGCTCACGACCTCGCCTGGCAATACAGGAGGTCGTGGGTTCGATCTCAACCCTGACGCCTGTAGATTTGGAGTTTACATGTTCTCGCCGTGGTCGCGTCGATTTTTCTCCGGGGACGGTAACCCTCAGGAGCCGTGGGGCTCGTGAGGGTTACCGTGTTATACGGATTACAATGCCTACTTTGTTTTTCATCCTGTATTTTACATGTTTGGGTGTGTGCCTTTTAATCCAGTGTGCTTGTCCAGAATTGTCTAGACACCAGGCACACATGTAGGATGTGTCTTACTCTCCGAAGCGTATTATAATCTTGAGTACAGTATTTGACCACGCTTCACCACTCTGGTCAATGCGGGTTTGCGACGGTGGATATAGTGTAGACGGTGCGTAGCACGGCAAGTCCTCGTTTAACGCGGTAGATGCATTCCCGAAAAGTGCCGCGTTAAGCGAAAATATCCCTTTAAATAATGTAACGATAAAAGTTTTCCGAGATACGCTGTACGCAGTCAGATGCCGTTATGACGGTGCGCGTTCAGAGTTGTGCGAAACGTGTTCGCGAATTAATGGCGTAAGAGCGAAAATGCGTTGCGTTCACTCGTTTAGCGAGGACTTCTTACATTATAGTACAATGGATTTGACTGCACTGCCCCCTGCTGACAATACAAAAAATAAGGACTGAAAAAAACAGTTGGGATGGTTACACGAGTGCAGCTCGGTTGCGAATGGACTCCCAGTTTTTATTAAAATTCACCGCATCTCGGGTAACACCACCACCACCCTCCTTCCCAACGAACAGATCCCCTGATGAATGGTACATTCCTAAAGACGCAGTCACCTTGAAGCCCTGGGGAGTGTCAAGCACCGCGATGCAAGGCTAATTTGAAGTGAGCAGTCTAATCGGCCCATTTGTTTTATTTTGAGCAAAGTTGTGTTGTCTGGCATTGCTCACTGTTGCCTGTGGCAGCACTATAGAGCCGTGTTTTATTCTTTCGAGTTGCTTTTTGTAATACCCGCTTGACTCTACGCTGTTGCGGTTAGACGTGCTGTTTATACGACCTGCCTCTTGGAGAATGAGCTATGAACTCGCTTTTGATGCTCGATCCTGCCGTATTCCATCCGATGCTCACGGCAAACTAAATTTTTACACCCAGCCACGGTGCGCACGCATGCCTCTTGTTTTACATTCCGTAAGGGAGGTTTTCTTGAACGTTTTTAATCTGAGAAAAATGTTCCAATTACAATTGGCTCCCATTGATAGAGCATGCTGACGCATCCTGTGCGCAGTTTCCCTTGGTCGGTGCAAATTTGAAGCTCATGCGACCGATTATTTTTCTCCCAGTTGGACGCACGGGGCAGCATTAAACCACAGCATCATAAATTACGGTAAAAGCGTAGCCCTGTAATTATTTGCTCATGCCACTGTTGGTGGAAGCGCTTCCAATAGAAAGCTCTGGAAAGCCCCCTTTGTGGATACGTAGACCTATTCTTCCATGCAGGCAAGACTTCTTGGAAGAGGTGGGAATATCCACACTTTACACCACCACATTGGCTGTGGTGTACCCATTTATATTGCTGTGTGGACAAAGGTGGAGGGATTTAAGAAATAGGCTCATTGTTTCAGCTGCCACGCCGGGAGATCGAACCAATGACCTCTTGTTGGTTGCGAGTCCAGTGTGCTGACCATTACACCACAGCACCATCCAGCGTATAAATCCATTTAAATGTGTGATAGCTTACTTTGTGTGTGTGCGTGTGTGTAAAACCAAGACGTGCATTAAATAAAACCGTTTATTTAAAGTCTCTTTACACATTGTAAAACGTTTTCCACCAACCTCTGTCTCCCAGAGATGGGGGCTGAGTAAAGTCTTTCCGTAAGAAAAAGCTGCTTAAAATAACACGAAGAATGAAGACGTCAGTAGAAAAGAGATTTTTTTAAATGTTTGTTTAGTTTACTTCTCATCGCCAAAAAATATTGATAATTTATTTTGTTTCCCAGTCAACCCAGTAAAGCTTCTTGGATCATATTTTTAAAGGAAAATTATGGACAGTTTTACTTTTGGCATTCTAGAGAGATGGGAGGACTGACGGGCAAGTTAGGTTTGTTTTTCCAATTGTGAAATTCCCTTTGCGTACAGAAAATGGGGTTTTGGCTAAAGAAGCAAGGTGAGAAGCCAGCCAATCACAACTAATTGCAGAATCACACAAGATTCAGACCTGGGACACCAAAAACAAATGACTTATTTTCTTAAATGTCAAACTCGGGGGAGGAGGGGGAGGTTCCAAAACAACCCCGTAAATTCCCACGCATTCCTCTGGGTAGGTTTGATGAGAACGTGCGACGGGCCCGTCGCTCAGGAGACCGGAGGGACCCCTCCTGTGGTACAGCTGTGCCGCTAGACTTGGGTGCAGCTAGAGGCCACAGTGAGGAAGCCATTAGGGATAGGGCAATTTCCCGTCTTTGGCTGCACTTGCTCCAGCACAGCAGTTGGCTCGCTGGTGTTTTCAAACAGTGATTATCCAAGTTACATATACCGTAGCGCTGTCTTCTCTCCTGGAGCGATGGCGATGGTATCCCTCTGGTTGTGGTTAAAGTGTCATGCACCTGCCAACATTTGACGTGGACGGATGTCAATGAAATCAACTCGCGTGCAGACACGAGATGAATTGTTAAATCATCATAGGATCGTGAGAGAGATGGCGATGGCTTGGCGAGACTTTCATCTACCAGTGCATTGATCGTGGCCGATGATGATGTCGATGGAGGGTCAAGCCTAGTGGAAGGCTCTGATAAAAGCAGCGCTATTCTGCTGTAGGAGAAGAGTGGGTGATGGTGGCTTCCTCGATATCGAGGTACAAGCCTCAGACTCCACAAGTCCCGGATTTCAGCAGCATCCGCGTCTCCTCCAACCTGCTCAGACACCACAAAACCATACGACCACTCTCCGTCACATGTCACAAACATACCGACTTGCTCTGTAGGAAGCGCGGCAAACATTTGAACAGACTGCATCAAGGTTTTTCTCTACGTACATTCTTTGCAAGCGCTCCACTTGTGGGTTTGCTTTTTCCAACGACGTTGAAAGTATCTGCAAACATACAACACTTAATTAATTGCCCGGATTAAACTTAAAAATGGTTACTAAAGATGCGCGTTTATTTCTACTCAATAACTTCGTATCTTTCATTCTTCTTAACGAATACAATCGGCACCAATCAACACATTTCCGTCCGAGTCATTCATCAGACGTTCTCTCACATCTCCGTTGCATTTAAATGTGTATCGATTGTCCCACCAGATTGATTTTACAGTATGGTAACTTCATTGTACCATTGGACATACCATTGGGCATAACATTACAACAGTGACAGACACTCTTGGGGAAAATGGAGAAAGAGAAATATGGATGAATCGAACAAACTGAGCTAAAACTAAGCTTCTAGGCCTACTGAGCCATATAGCTTTTTTTCAGATGCGACCTGGCCACAAATGATAGCCCAATTAAGTGGCTTATCGTGTGGAAATTTATAGCAGACAAATACTCTAAACGCATGTTCCTAATTGGAGGGAAAAACCAGAGAAAAATCCACGCAACCACAGGGAGAACACGCAAACTCCAAATATATAGGCGTTGGAGTCGGAATCGAACCCACGACCTCCTGTATACCGGGCGAGGTAGTTAACATCTCGCCACCACGGCGCTCTAAAATTCGACCAAAATTTTAAACTCGTGACCGGAGATCACAGAGCAGCAGCGCGTCTATCCGCCCACCTGTTCATTGCTTTTGCGGAGGGAGTCCCGCTGCTCCCCGCTGCCCTGAGTCGGCACGAGTCCCTCCATGGGACACAGGGACGTGGACGGCTCCGCCAGGACGGACGCGGGCCCAGCGCCAGGCGGCACGGGGGACGCACGGTCTTCGAGCCCTGCCGGAAAACGTGTATCCCACGACGGCGAGGCGTTCTCACAAGCCTCTCGGCAAGTTTGGCCCCCGGCGTCGGGCTTGGCGACATGCCAAGCGCGGAGAGGGCCAAGAAAATAAAGAAATAACTTCCCCGAGAGGAGGACAGAGTAAGGGTGCTTTATGGACGCAACCGTCAAGAGTTTGCGCCGGGCTCTCGGGTCGGTTTCGTTGTCGGCAACGCAAAAACAAACCGCTCCTAGCGAGGGTTCAGTAACCTCCTTACCAAGGGCCCGTTTTTACCAAACTCCCAAATGAACATGCGAAACTAATTATCGCAACAGTACGAAAGCACTCGCGTTCTGATGCTGATTTTCAAAACCGTTTTGTTTTTTTTCCTTTAATCACAAATCCAATTATATGGTAATTATAGTTGTATGGAAAGGACACATTCTACGTGCGTTTCAAGTTTTCGCTTTATTCCTACATTTATGTAAAAAAAAATGGAGGCACCTGCAGAGAAGAGCTCGGACACCCGGGCAGTCCCGCGTGGGTCGCTACTGCTTGATGCATTGCCACGTGATGTGCCACGTGATGCGCCGCGCGGCTGAAGAGTGAGGACAGGGGAAAGAGTCATCAAGGGTAGCACAGCCGGCCCATCCTCGCAGCGAAAAAACAACGACCACCGCAACCAGTAACACCACTTAGCAGCTCTGGCGTGGGGCTTTGGCAGCCTGGGAGTTACCATTTCATAAAGATGTCATTGCTCTCGTGAGTGATGGTTCTTATTATTTTTTTGTTATTGTGTTTCTCATAACATTATTCATCAACGCCAGGTCCCCAGCGAGGACTCAATTGTGACGGATTTGGTCTAAATTCAGCAACGACACAGAACGAACGACGCCCAGAACACCCTGGTGCATACACGTGCAGCGCGCTGATTTATGATGTTTTTAAGTCATAGTGTATACTTGCGTGCCTATGGGTCTGCACGTATGCACATATGAGCAAGTTTCGTGCTTCTACAGCTGTAGCTCTGGAGGAGACTCAACAACGATGCTACTGGGCGGCTGGCAGTAGTGGCCGCCCTCCAGCAACAAGAGACAGCGGAGCGACGTTCACTTAAATAAGCAACACTTCCGCCTGACAAAACTCATCAAGTTCGAATCGACAGCGGTGCAGTCGTTGCGTCTGCTGGTCACGCGAATGTCAATCCACAACAACTCAGTGTTGACTTGTCAGCAAGCCTTCACCACTCCACGTGGCTACGGAGCGAGCCGAAAAGTGTCATAGTCACTTAATAACAAACTTGGGCAGCGTGCACCTAAACTCCTAGATCGAGAACTTAACCCTTCCCCATTCCGAGGCGACTGCTAGTTGCAGGGTGGGTCCCGTTCACCGCTGAATCTTGGACTGCGCAAGCGGTTGGCGTTCATTTTATTTAGCAAGGCATAGCGCCGCTGTTTTTAAAGACATGGCACTCACCGCTGATAACTGTAGCGACATGACCGCACCCTACGATAGCTGGCGGGAAACTGTGCCACATGCCCTCCCGCATGGCCTTGCGGGCGCCTCGGTATTGATAAAAGTTATTTTATGTACACATAGGTGTTTGCGTATTTAAGTGAATGTCGCTCGCACTGCCTCTTGTTTGATGCTGATGACGTACTCATACGTCATTGGAACAGAAAAAGGTTCAACTACACCTTCATTAAGACCTGAACTAGAAAATGATTCATTGCACGCATAATAGAAAGACTGGTACTAATTCATTTTGACGGAACTAAACAAAAAAAAAATAACAACTGCAACCGACTTGCACGAGCGTTGTTGAGAGTGCGCGAGCGCTCACCCCGGCCAGCAGCAGCACCGCCTGGTTCTCGAGCAGCGTCACGCGGCTCGCCAGGTTCTCCCACTCGGTGCGGTCCACCAGGATTGAGCCGTGCATGGCGCAGCTCAGCGCTGCCACGTGGGCGCACGTCTCGGCGTACTGAGCTTGCAGTCGCGACACCGTCGCTCGCAGCTCCGACATCTGTCGGGGGGGCAGTGTCGTCGATCGTGGTGGGGGCAGGGGGGGGGGAGAATTGGTGGATTGCAAGCTGGCTTTTTGGTTAGTTTATTGTCCATCCCCCGCATCTCCGATTAGCACGGTTGGCTATGTACATTGCAAAAGAAGTTCAACTCACATAGTATTTATCTTGAACATACATACGCATGTAGATACATATGCATGTTGAACTTCTTTCGCCCCAGGGAATTAAATGGGGCTCCCTGCCCAGTTTCCCCTCTCTTCGTGTTCTGGCGCCTAGGCCCGTCTGGACCCTGGACCCCTCTTGAAACTGCATCTCCCAACACACTCGATTGCTACACCACTGCTTGGCCGATTCACAGCGATGCGGTCAAAACTATTGCCACTCAAAGGAAGACAAACAGGCAAGACCAACAAGGTGGCAAGGGTGGCTCAGAGTTTCCGAGCACATTGAGCCAGCACCTCTGAGTTGAATTCAAGTTTTGGTAGCCACCCGTGATTAAACCAGGCTCTCAAGTGTAGTGAATGATGGTCTTAACCTAGTCACCACTGATTGAACAAATGACACTATGACCATAAATGTATGTTGAACTTCTTTCTCGCCGTATGTATCAAAACGTAAATGTGGTTTTCCACTTAACGTGGCTAAATTCCAGCTATGAGAATTAAAAACAGTCGGTGATAGCCTAGATTTGTACCTACAAGATATATTCGGTCATTTTCCTTCATCTTTCTTTAACGACAATGCACATTAAAAAAAACTCAATCCCGGCCTGTTATAAATTTGCGGGATCCTAAGATTCACTATGTGCGGCCTTGCATTGGCTCTGCTTACCTCCTGCAATAGCTGGTGATTAGTTGCATTGGTATCATCTTTCTTTCCTTCTGGACTGCTTTGTGGGACATGGCTTGGCAACTCAAGCAAAACTTCTGCTTCTGGAAGAACCCCCTATAAAGCAAAAACAAGATTTGCATTACTCATTAGATCGTGTTAAAAACGGTGTAGAGCAGTTGGCATAGTTGCCACACAGATACGGTGACAATGAACACGCTGTAAACAAAAAAAGGCATGTCAATACAATGCTGGATGAAGGACTTCTAACGTGCCGGTCATGGGCATTGTTTGACCGTACTTGACTAGGCCGGTCAGTGGGAGTTGATGAAGGGGAGCCGGGTGCACGTGAAGAACCACGCCTGACGTTAAAAACGGTTGGCACTCAAACTCAGCTCCCAAAGGTCACAGCGTAGTGTGCCAATCTGTGCACCACCGCTCCCCCAATTGTACATATAACTGGGGAGGCGGGGGGAAGCTAAAACGACCAAAAGGACTTAAAAAAAAAATAACACATCGGCTCACATTACCTGGCGCGGCGTGGGACACGAGCCCCGGGCCGCCCCCCCGTGCGGCCCACAATGCCTCTGCACCAGTGGCCTTGGCACATCTCCATTTCCTGCGCCCGCCACAACCAGGCCCTGCGGATTACACACGCGACACGCTAACGCCACTCCTGCGGCGAGCAGCGCCGCCACGCACAAGGTGGCCTCTCCTCGAGGGACCATTTCACCTTGACGCGAAACATCACGGCTAACGAGATACCCCGGTACCGTGTAGATCGTCACCTCTGGCCCTTCGGTTTTGCCCTCGGGTTTAGCCTGGAGTTTGTGCTCACTAAATGTTATGGCTATGATGACCGCGAGCGTACTGGCCAGCTGTAATTGCTCAGTGGTGAGCTACGCCAAGTGGCTTAATTACTCTTTTTTTTCTTTCTTCTGAAATTAAGCTTCAGCACGACTCCCGTGCACACACTTGTAAAACCTGACATTTCGCAGAGGTCAAACTTTTCAACAGCGCGTAGCAAGGGAGACTGTCTGCGTGCTGACTTAAAACAAAAGTCAGGGTAAAATAAGTGAACAAAAACAGATTAACCTTTAAACTCCAGCAAGTTTAACTCGGAACAATATTTTTGTAAAGAAATAAGTTGTGTATAAACATCTTGAGGTATGTTATTGAGCCGATATTTTTTTTTAACTCACTGATGAAGTGGCCCACATATAATTTTAATATAATTCTTTAACTGTTTCACGTCTCTTTGCATTCACAGCAACAACACTCGAAGCCCGGATATATTGGACCGATATAAATATGGAGTGGAAAGTTATTTTATTTTTACGAATTCACCCACAATTAATAAATTTTAAATGAAATTAAAGTAAAGTGTTTTTGAGATTCCATATGAATAACTCGGACCAGTCTTCAGCACAGCTACATTTTTTTTACATTGTTTATTCTCGTTTTGCTGCATATATAGTCTATAAAGTACTGGATTATTTTTGCACGTTGTATTTGGTCTACGATCCCTTCCGTATTTTGCAATCATCTCAAATACCCTTTTTGCTCTGGCGCCTTGAGATGTACTGCATGGGAGGTGCATTTTATAAATAATAAATGATGATGACGACGATGAGTGAGCCGTGCGTCCCCACCAGAGACTGCGGGTGATTGAACGAAGGCTCGCACGGAGCACGATGGAGTCGCTGGGGAGGCGGCTGGCCGTCCACAGCCTCCGCCGCCAGTGAGCCTGCGGTCGCTGCTGGCTTTCGGGCGGAGGGAGTGCACTTCTGCAAGTACAGCGAGACACGGCGAACCGTTCGCGAAACGTTCAGACGCCGCCAGCAGTGGTGGCCAGCTGGCAAAAGTGTAAACACGAGAACCACTAAAGGGCGCTGAATTGTCGCCAGAATTAAAGATTACAATCCTCTGCCAATCTGCTGCGAGATGAAGACCTCCCCCACACCATTTCAGTCATGCGGGTTGTTTGGACCGTACAGACCAGTGCGGGTTTATGAGTGGTTCGGATACCACTTGCCACCTACGCTTACCGTAATCAGAAATCGATGTCACGTCGCTGGGTTAATAGAGCAGTGCGTTAACCACTGTGCCGTCGCTCTACCCCGCGTTTTGTGAAGTCAAACAGAATACGAACGAGTTAACAAGGCAGGCATTTTCCACATAGCAGGCCTCGTCAACCTTCTACCCAAGCACTTCCCTAACGGTCCAGACATTCCTTTTCGACCAACATACTTAAATAATGCATAAATCAGATAATTCACATGATGGTCAAGCCAATAGTTCAAGTCTCGGGGCTCAAATTTAGTCAAATTATACGTATGAACCAAATTAAATGTGATGGGTTTTTTTGTGTGGCAAGTGCAGCCACCCAGCTGACACCATAAACTCGTTACATTTGACAATCTGGTTTAATCACAGACGCCTATCTGAATGAAAAACCGGGGATCTCAGCGATGCCAATTGTCGGCACTCTTTTGAGCCACCCAGGAACCTCGTGGGCGGACACAGGTTTAAAAAGGCGTCGACGATTGCTTCCGCTAGAAGGCGCTGCAGGGCTGCCGTGCGCTCACCTTGTGGGCGAGCTGCGTCAACTCCTTGTGCTTTGTTCGCACGGCCTGCCCGATGTCGCACAGCATCTGCATCTTGCGCTCGGCGAAGCCCAGCTGCAGGAACTGTGCCTTAGTGAGCACAGGCCGCACCTCGAACCTGTCCCTGAGCACCTGCGTCGTGCCACGAGAGTGACAGCAGCAGCCGCGTCGGCAAACGTCAAAACACACAAACGGGTAAAATGAAAAACCACGAAGACCCCAGGCGTCTTTGATCCAAACGGATATAAAATCATTCGACTGGCATCTGTAGAACCTCTGAGAAACATTATTCGGGAAAATCATTGATCTTTGAGGAGCTCTGGTCACCTCTTATTACATCCCAACTGACCTCACGATCTTTGGGATCCCCAATGCTGTTTAATGTTTCTCTATAATTCAATTCTCTCCTGCTTCCTCTATTTGGTTTTATGTTTAAACTCATCTCAGAGATCGAATCCCCCCACCCACCCACCCCTACACCATTTCCAAGTTTCTGGAAGAAACTTTGTTGATTTTATATTCATGCGCTGTGTTCGATGCTTTTTTTTTTCAGAGAATCAAATTAAATTTACGAAAATAATTCGGGGATGCACATCTTCCCTTTTGGGATGTGACCGGAAGAGTATGGTAGTTTACAAATTGATGACTACCATATTATAGCATTCATTCACGTTATCTGTTTTTGTTTATTACATGTGTTTTGCGACCCCCTTCATTCTCTAACTCTAGATTACGTCTGAAGCGAACGTGAAATACACCGTCGTGCAATTTAAATGCAATGCCCACCCTGTGATGCCCTGGAATTATGATCCTTTCTACTTTGTTCTAAGCATTGTGCCCGAATGCTTTCTCATGAACACATTTCGATAACAAATATATTTTCAATAAACACCCATACGTTTCCACTCGAGATAATTATTACTATTATGCCGGTTCTACGGTACTCGTTTTATTGTTCAACTTAAACCTTAACGTTGTAATGTTTGTACATATATAGCAATAGCCCTGTTGTATTCCCAGGTAGATTTCGTACAGAATTTGGTTCTTAAGTGGTGAACGTAGTTGCTCCAATGTTTTGGAACGAACTGGTGGTGTCTTCTCTGGGGATCGCCACTTTGCCATCATTTTACTTTTAAACAGACAATTGAGGTCGAAACAATACAAATGTGCGTAATTGTTTTGTAAGATCGTTTGGTTATATTTACTGCATACTTTTAATATTTTATATCTTGCTTATTATAAACTCTTGCTGCCGTGTCTGTCTGCTGGCCGAGTCACCCTTGAAAAAGAGCTGCATGGCTCAATGGGTTATTTACTTGGATAATAAACTTCTGATTCTGGGTGTAATGCACGTACGCATGTTGAACTTCTTTCGCACCGTACGTAGCCAACCGTGCTAATCGAGAGGTGCGGGACAGACACATTGGCGCAAGCATCACACTCGCACGCCACACATCAACGCGTCACTGGCGGCAACATCCAAACGTCATTTCGACAGCGTGGCACATGGCAGAACAATCAGCAGAGCTCAACCAGTATTGAGAAAATCCAGCGGTTATGCATCTTTACGGAATTAAGACATAAATACTCCCAAACCCCACAGAAATATCAGAAACTACATTTATCCCCAAGGGGTCTGCCGATGCAGGTGTACATGGCTGCCTCCCCTTGTACGGTCATAGATTACTTACATTGACGTCTGCATGAAACCAGATTCTCTTTCTTTGGGTAGCAAGCTCTCTGCATTACGACTTTGCACGTTTAGCACAAGAACGTCAAAGCAATTAACCACAACAACTTCATTAATGCAGGAGTACAATGCAAACGCCACTCAGAAGCATTGTTAATGTAATCACGGTTGCCGACTTAACCAAATGTGTCATAAACTTACCATAATGGGGTGAATAGAGCGCAGAATTTTAAAAAAATGAGTCTCCCCCCTAGCTAAAACAAAACATCATCAGCCATGACCGTTCCACTGCTGGATTAAGGCCTTCCCAAGCCATATATCAAGGTCCTGGGATTTAACAATTTATCCTGCACCTGCAGGTGAACTTATTTGATCGCTCCATCGTATCATATAGTCATCATCCCTTATCCAATAATCCAGTTACACCCAATTTACGTAACGTTATTAGGGTAAAAAAGCCTCGCATAGAGACCCATCGCACACTTTCAGGTGCGCTTCTGCGGCCATCTGGAACGCTCTTCCTTCCGATATTAGGAAGCCACTGGAGCTATGCACTTTTAAGTCTAGAATGAAAACTCATTTCTTGAGAACTGCTTTTTGTGTTTAGTTTGTTATCCTTCCCCTGCACCTCTGATTAGCACGGTTGGCTACGTAAGGTGCGAAAGAAGTTCAACATACATACATTCAAATTAACACGAAGCCGCATCACTGTGGGTTTGTGATCTGGTGCCCAATTAAGGTAGTCTCACACACAGGGAAGTACCGATTGCTCGCGTAAAAATTATCATAACGTTCACAGCTTAGCAGGGGTCAACGCGTGAATCATCGGCACGCGGCCTGCGAGTTCGCACGGCCACGGGCGAAAGTGACAAAACCTTCAAACAGTATTTAAAGCCGCTTCCACTTACGACAGTGCGTGCATGGCGTGTGCCGTACAAAAACGATCCCTTCTGCAATCTCTGATTGCGGTTTTTTTGCTTCCCCTCCCACGTGGTTTTAATTTGAATTTGTCATTGCCATGCAGGGTTGCATGACTAATGGTCGCAGTCCTGCGCTCCACTTTGCAGCCAGGCTCATTACCCACAATTTGTTTCCCTTCCCATTAAATGCCTCGTTACTCCGCTCAGGGAAAAAAAGAAAGAAAAAATTCGGCTCAGACTGCATCGCCGGCGACTGCCGCTGCTAAACGCCGTGTCGCGGCTGAGGGACGTTTTGGCGAGTTGCCGTTTTCTTGTTTTAAAACTTTTTGCCTATTTTTTCCACCACAACCGCCACGGTGGCTCTCCCACTGCCTTCCTCCTCCCCTCCCTCCCTCCCTGCAGTTTGAGGCTCTGATTCATTACAGAGACTAAAGCTTCTGATCTTGGCAATTTTGACAATAGTATTTCCTGCAGCAATCGTGGCATTTGCAGCAAAGCGAAGTGACATTTATTCGGGACAACAGGCTACAGGCAGGCATAGGCAGGCCTTATTCATTGAAGTGGCACAAGATGTCTTACCCTGCTTGCTCCACATCACGTTTGACTGCAGTGGTTCCCAAACTTTTTGGACCCGCAGACCACCATGCAGTAAAACAAAATGCAGCGTTTTGTGAAAAAAACATCGCATCTGCAACAGTTTCGCGGACCACTTCCCATCGGTTTGCGGACTACCAGCAGTACGCAAACTACAGGTTGGGAACCTGCAGCACATTCCCGCATGTCCGTGAATTCCAATGCCGTTCGTTTACAATAACACAGACATTTAGAATGACGCTTAAATACAATTTGTGAAACCTATACTCGGGAGTAGCTTTAGCATGCTATAGGTTTCGAAAATAATAATAAATGTTGCTCTCAGGATAATTTTTAATTAATGCCATTTCTCCTTACTTAAAAATTTTAATATTTATAAAAGTCACATTCAGAGCTAAAAATGCCTGGCTTAGGACAAGTGAGATTTTGCTGTAGACTACCTTAAAGATTATTTCAAATTGCAGTACCTATTATCAATAATGCTGTTTTCGTGTAATATCCATTTAAAGGCCCACTTTCCAAATGACCTTTTTTTCCAAAGCCGTGCTATATATACGACCTTAAAGTACTGTAATGAAGGCATGCAGGACCGCAGTACAGGCAAATAATCTACACGGGCTCGTAGCGGTGACCGCCCCCGCCTAACCTAACTGCCATAATGAGGGCGTGACCCTGGTACCAAACAGCCCGCAATTACACCAAGTCGGTGGGGGAAACGTCAAATACAATTTCTGCCAAACGGAATGACAAATCTCCACAGCCTCCTCTCAGCTCCCCCCTCCTTTCCTCCTCCTCCTCGCCCCCCCCCCCCCCCCGCCGCCTTTCTCGCAACCCGGGGACAGTGCTGCTCGAAAACAACCGGTCCATTTCAGCAGCGCAATTTTGGGCAAAGCTCAAACGCGGCACGATCCATTTAGCGACGCCGTTGCTTTTTTCTCCACGGAAACTCTATTACGGTCTCATGAGCGGCACGTACCGAGTTTCGCGAACGAGGAGGTGCGCGGTGCGAGAGATTCGCGTCAGTGTCTTGCGCACGGGCAGACGAGCGCCCAGGATTATTTTTACCGCGTCTTAACGAAGGGCCCAGCTGTTGTGTTCGTCTTCGATAAAAATGACTTCTCGGCACTTTGAAATTAACCCGTGCAGCTTGTGCGTAAATGATACATCTGTGTAGTTACGTATGATTTACCACATTTTGGGAAAATGTCGTCACAAAATTTGGTACTGTAATAATGATTGGTAATAATGATATGGTATATACACTTTACAGTTATAGTCATTATTAGTTGTACGACAGTAATGTTTTTTTGAGAAAATGTAAATTGCTTCCATTACGGATTTTTTTAATACATTTTGAATGTATACAACTCTTATTTTGTAATGCTTTAAAAATGTTACATTTATTTAAGTACTGGACGAATAGCACCATCCTAAAATATGGCATGGTAACAGTGGTCTTCCCAACATTTACCGTAACAGCAGCAATATTAAATTCCATAATAAATTTTACTATAAATTCAAACAGTACAACTTAATACTGTGCCAGTAACTTTAATTGCATTGAATATGATTATAAAATGCTGTCAACTAATTTCTAAAATAATAGCGCTGTGACAGAAATTGCCGTTTCTTATTTATAAGAAACAGCAATTTCATTTCACCCAACAGCCATCTGCAAAACATTTTGGTATATTGTCATGACTAGAATCTTCAGGCGCAGAGCCACACAATCCACGTCCAGAAAAAGACCTAAGGAAAATCAAAAGCAACGCGAGTCGGTACGGTAAGGACGTCACCGACGCAGAACAGGCGACATGCAGACAGCCATTTCAAGACCCAGCCAGAGCCCAGTGCAGATGGAAGGATGATATGCTCCGGATGCAGACAGAAAAACACAATGTGACACAAGCACAGAAACACACACAGACACCGACAGAAAGACAAACACGGAGATGGACACAGGGACCGACAGGCATGGACAGAGACAAAGAGCGAGGCAACTACGGAGAGAGAAAATTAAACAGACACAGAGATGAGAGAAGGCATGCAATGATTCACTTCCCTAGAGATTTGATTAATTTTCATAATTCAGGGTTATGATTTGATTCAACAATCAATTATTTTTGTCTCATGTTTTTAAAGCTCATTTGTATCGTTTATTATTTGTTCCATGTTCATTCTCAGGCATACGATTTATGTCTAATAGAGAGAAGGGGAGAATCAAAAAGACCTACAAACATAGAGGCAAACAAAACGAGAAGGAGACAGAGAGAGTTCCAGAGAAAGACATGAAAATAAACAAAGAGAAACAGAAAAAGACATCAGGTGAGACAGACACCGAGAGACACGGCAAGAGACACACAGACAGACACAACAACAACCGCCGTTCACTACTAAGTGGTGGTGACGTATAAAAACAAAAAAAGACCCGCCATGGTGCTTGTGCCATGCTCGGTGCACTTTGAGGCCACGTGAAGTGTCGAAGGCCCGCTGGCAGGAGGTCACGAAACAGACCCAGGTGCCATGAATCGACTGACTGAGATGACTGGCAGATGCACAAACCGTGCTCCCCTACTGTGCCAACTTTCTGCGTTTTTAGCCGCCCGGCGTTCTGCTTGGAGGACACGCGGAGAAAGAAGCGAACGACGCCTTGTGTACACGTTCGCACGCTGCAATCGCGTAGGTGGACGCAGTGCAGGGTGCACGGTCTCAGGTGCACCTTGGCCCTCGGCCCCGGGCCCTACCCACCCTGTAGACGGCTTCCACGAAGCGCAGGTCGCTCTTGGCTGCGAGTTCCACGCCCCACTCAGCTAGACACTCGGCGACGGGGAGAGAGTATTCCGTGAACGCGTGGTGCAGCAGCGGCAGCAGCGCCTTGGCGTCGCCGGTGAGGAGCCTGCACGCACCGGCAAAGCGCACCGGCAACGCACAGCGTGAAATAAATATATATGACGAACACACCGAGAACACAAACGCGAACGCACACGTTAACGCACTGTGAACCGAGGCTTTGTCTCAGCCAGGTTTGTCTGAGTCGGCGACCGACAGAAAAGGCTCCTGGACTCGGCACACCACATCCAGCACACCTCTCACTTTGGCTGTGGGCAGCTATTCACAAGCCGCCTACTCCAATCTATCAGCGACCGAGAAAATAATCGGTGAGAAATCGTGCTCTATTGCGTACACACCGTGAAGGACGGAACGCAATAAACTGCCCTGCTCTGCAACATTAACGATAATAAGTCTGATTTATAATACACGCAAACTTCATGCAGTGAGTAACAAACACAAGTCAGGAGTGTGATACTCTGTTCTGTTGTGTTTTGTAATTTGTGTAAGAAACAACTGATATAAAAACGATAGGACTTTTTTTCTCTTGTAGATATGTACCCAATCTGGACACAGATGTGTATCCAACCTGTGTGCCATAGGCTGTCTAACATGATTATTTGAAGATCGTTAATCTGGTAATTAGATAGCAAAGCTTTCGTGACTGCAGGGATTTCATATAGTTTTATATTTTTATTATTTTATTGTTTCCCTTCTACGTGACTTTACCGAAAGAACCAAGAATATAGATAGAAAAGAATAAGAAATCACAATGTCATATTGGTGATGTAACTATAGTGGCTTTATATAAATAAAAACGGGAGTGATGCCACTTTGACAAATACAATGTGTATCACCGGCACGTTACATCATTTACCTCGTGAACAAAGCTTCATACTTGTGTCAGGGCAACCAGGAATGCACAGATTAGAGACTTATCTACAGATAAGACATTTTTTTTGGGGGGGGGGTTGCCCCTGCCTTTAAACATTTGCAATTCATTACCTTAAAATTCCATACATTTTTTTGCTGAATTTCGATTGATAATTGTTAAATAACATTTTACAGGAGAAATTTCTTAAACATTATTTACATTAACACTTGGGCAACGGGCATAAATATTATACCGACATCAATATTAACACTTACTTAGAAATATAAAATCTGCAGTAAAATGATACGGGCAGTAGCCCTCCATTACTCAGAGCACAGACATTAATAACACTCACACCAAACTGAAATAACAATATGATGTGTCATCTAACGGTTCGGATGTATGGCCTTTCCGTCCAGCATGCCACGGGCCAGTGTTTACTCAAAAAGTCAATCCCTAGCTCTCATTCCTGACATCGAATCTATCGTCACTCTGCCAGAGGGCCCAACAGAGGAGATAAGGCAGCATGGAGGCTGTGGCAGGGCCCGGGTTTGGAAGGCGCGGCAGGGCGGGGGGGGGGCTACGCAGCTGCCCTGCGTTCCGCCGCTCAAAACAACCACGAAAGAAAACCCAACTCTCGCCCGTGCTCACCCCTCGTAGTCCACCTCATGCGGGTAGCGCAGCAGCCGGACTTCCATCTGCACGCGGCGCAGACTGCCCTTGATGTCGCCGGTCGTCATCGCTGGGCGGCAAAAGGCAGGCGCCAACGCACGCTCACATTTAGTTCACTCTTGAGCCGCGTAAATCACTTGAGAGCTGTGGAATGCACATGTATTAATTTTCTGCTGCCTCTTTGTTCTTTCTGAAAACCCTTGCCGATGTGTTTGGGACCCTTGCCGTCTGCCTCCTGTAAAACGTTTCAGATCCAATGTATATAAACCGATGTCCAGACCTCTAATAGTGACCATTCTGTTTACGGGCTATGTGTAATATTTCTCAGAAAATTCACAGCACACATCTTTGAGATATTTTGGAGCTGCAATTGATGTGAAAACCTTACCTCGAGCCCGCGCGCGCTTAATGTGTTGCGCTCGTTATTGAGACAATTTAGTGCAATACTGTACGAAAAAGGTATAATTTAGTAGAATTGTAGTCCTATTTTAAACAAATCAATGCTGCAGATGTTATAGCCTAAAATCCTTCAAATCATCCTGCTTGGATCCTTGTTATTGCAAATGTGATGATGGAGAGGGTGTTTTGTTTCAGACATCTCTACGCTAATGCGTGCTCTGACAATTTAACTGCTCTGATAATTTACAGGGGGCACTTAAAACATATTCTCTGAAAGTTGCTGCGGTCAAATGCTACGCAGGAGGCATCTTCCGTGCTCCTAAAACCCACTGAAGCGCTTAACAACTGTTGCACTGTTGAATCATTGTATATTTTGGACTGAATTCATCACAGCTTTTGCTGGAAGAGGAGCCCGACAGACTACAGCGCAAATCATCAGTGAAAATAACAGAGAGTATTTGGGATAATCCACCAACAAACCCATATTTCAAAAGATAAAAAAAGTTATGATACAAATCTTCATATGTACATACATTCACATTGACTGATTGCATTGTGTGATTCTCCAAAAAAAAATTAACCTGAGTACAACTTAGCTTGATGGATTTCCTTTAATTAAAACCAGGTAAAAGTGTGCTGAGATCAGAGATATATCTTTTTAGGAAGATATGGGTAAAAAAATATATACATCTTGCAACAAACAGCTCTCCAAGTGCAAACTATGAACAATGCAGAAAATAAACAGACTACTAGTATTATACAATAAAATAGAACACAAATTGAAAACAAGTATTCACATTCAGACAAAATAACACGAGATTATGGCGTGAATAAATCCATACTAAATTTCGATTTAAAGCTTTCGTGACTGCAATGATTCATCTTCTTTGGTTCTTTCGGTAAAGTCATGTAGAATGAGAATAAAATAATAAATTGATAAAATAAAATAACACAATAATATTCTCACGACGTTTCGGCCACAACACAAGCGGCCTTCATCAGGTGAAGGGAGCGAGACTGTCTGGACAGCGCTGGTAGGACAGCGCTGTCCTACCAGACAGTCTCGCTCCCTTCACCTGATGAAGGCTGCTTGTGTTGTGGCCGAAACGTCGTGAGAATATTATTGTGTTATTTTATTTTATCAATTTATTATTTTATTCTCATTCTACGTGACTTTACCGAAAGAACCAAAGAAGATAAATCCATACTCTTTGGTTCTTTCGGTAGAGAAAAATAAACGATATATTATTTTTTATTTTATTTTTCTACCTACGTGACTGCAGGAATCCATACTCTTTGGTTCTTTCGGTAAAGTTACGTAGGTAGAAAAATAAGATAAAATATATCATATTGTTTTACAATATATCATAGTTTAAAAAAATATCTACCTACGTGACTTTACCGAAAGAACCAAAGAGTATGGATTCCTGCAGTCACGAAAGTTTCAAATCAAGATTAAATAAATACATTTAAAACTACATTTATTAATTTTTTTATACATGTTCCATTAAAAAAAAGTTACAAATGTGATACAAGTTTATAACCTACACATGAACTTATTTTTTATTTGAGGTAGCCGTTAGATACATGTTAAAATGTTACCATTTCATGTGTATTGTCTGCCCTGCTGACCATCTCATTTATGCTGCGTCCAGCCATCAATAAGCCTAAATTAATCATTTGCATAATCTGTGCATGAATTGGAGATAGTAGTCATGCGAAATGATCATGAAAAAATGTTTTAATCGATGAATAAATACATTGTGGAAGTGTGTGCATAAGTTGACTTGATAAAATAGTAATCTGTTCAACATGCCAATGCAGATCTCGCAGTGAGAATAGCCTTGAGAGTCAGCAAGGCTTGCCTGACAAAAAATATAAAAATGCAGAGAATGATCTATATAATTACTCCTACTGTTGCTTGAGTAAATATGCTTGTTAGTGTAATACAAAGTTTAAAAAAGTATTTAATCGAAACCATTAACACCCCCCTCCCCCCCACACGTTTGTTTACACAACAAGATGTACCCACAACATAATTAATTCCAGTTACCCATTAGTTCAATTGTCTCATTATTATGACTATCATGATCACTGTTCTTATGAACGGCATGCCTGGATTCCTCTGCCAACCAACAGCAAGGACTTGCCGCCTATGTTCCCTTATGCACACAGCATTCAACAACCGGACGGCCAAGTGTTCTTCAATTTTCGCCGATAAGTCGTCGCCAGCGTAAAGGCCGCCTCCTCACCGCCCTGCAGGGGTTTGGTTTCACTATATTTGTGCATTGTCGGAGGCCGCACTTAAGGCCGCCAGTTGCCCGCGGGCCTTGCAATGAAGATCGCTGGTATAGAGGGAAACAATATTGTTCCTAATAAAGTATTGTTCCTCTTCCTTCTTTCCTCACACTGCTCGAACGTAGAGCGTCCCATGTCCCGTCACCTCATTCCCAAAGTTCATCTAATCCTGAAATGTGTGTGTGTTTGGCTGCTCTGCGCCCTAGGCCTTTGGGTCTGTTCCATAGATCTTACTTTTTTTTTAAACGACCAGTTCTGACTTTTCAGAGATATGAATACTTGCAAGGTTGCCAAATGTTATAGGCATGACGGACAACAAAGGGGCCACACAAACAAGAAGGGCAGGTGGTGCATGAAGTCTGAGACAGAGAGATAGAGAGAGGCCGTCAAAAGGGCTGAGCTCTGTTTCCGGAAGTTGTCACATGTTGGTCATATGTCAGTCATAAGTTATTCTAGATTTGAAGTTTTCGTGACTGCAAGGATCCATACTCTTGGTTCTTTCGGTAAAGTCACGTAGGTAAAGAAAATAAAGAATAAAATAAAAGAAATCACGACGTTTCGGGCGCAACAAGTTAATCACGTGTGGTCACAATTTCGAGACACGTGATATGTCAATGAAGTCACATTCTGGTCGCCTTTTATTCACGTGGTGATTATAAATGAGTCGTAGGCTGATTAAATGTTAGCCACAAGTTGTGTTCCTTTTCAACGTTGGCGTTGATGGCGATCCACCTCGTCCACACCTTCGAAGCTAAGCAGAGTTGAGCCCTGGTTGGAAACTTTCGAAGAGACTGCGAGGTGACCATGAGATGGGAATACAGCGACGGATTCTTGAATTAATCTGTGCGGACCTTTTCAGTGTTACCCCCCCCCCCCCCACCTAAGACGTCGTAGGTTTTCTCCGAACTTCTCCCGCATGAAACCGAACATCAATGCATGGAATTGACCAAAAACAGTCCAGGGTAAGCTGCACCATGCTGTAAAAGCGCGTTGAGACTCGATGAGGATTTCCTTGGCTAAATAAACTGCATTGTCACACATTGCGTGTTGCACTGGCGAACTCAAAGTAACTAAAAGCGGCCCCAAGTGTCCCGTGTTCTGTACCTTTAAACTCGTCGTTCGTTCGTTCGTGCATTTCTCGCCTACGCCGAACCCGACCGATCTCGTCGGACGAGAACCTGGAGGCCAAAGCAGGCGTCGGGAGAGCCCGTAACAACGCAGCCCACGCGAGTTGTTCAGACTCCGCACGGGGAAGGGGGAGTAACGCTGTTGGCGGAGAGCAGCTTAGCAAAGTCCGCGACTGCACCGCGCTTGTGCTTACGCTGCACCGCCTCGCACGGACCATCCGCGGTGAAGTATGGTCGTGCCAACCTCGACGGGCAGCGCGGCGTGGCGGGGACTTTCGTCCAGCGAGCCGACCGATTCAAGAAAGGATGGGACCCCCCGCGGTTATTGTTTGCAACGTAGTGCCTGGGCACAGATACCGCGTCTCCTCCTCCTCCTCCCCCCCCCAAAAAAACACACAAACGTCAAGGAGCCAGCAACAAACAGCACTGTCGAGACTACGGTACTCTGCTGCGTACTGCACGAGTGGGCGGTTGAATGAGCGCAATGTTATAAGAGGTTGAGACGAGACGATGGGGGAGGGGGGGGTAGACGGCAGAGACACGCGTATGTGTTATTTAAGGTTAATTAATATCATTAAAGCATCGTTGTGATCTTCGCTCGACGCATCGTGCGTTACCACGGTAACCAGGCGGGACGACCTCTTCCGTAATCGCTGCATCCATCTCCCCGTCCCGTGAGCCAATTGGGGCTGGGCAGCAGAACGGAGCGTACCTCGTTTGCGGAAGACGACGCTGAGGAGGACGATACCGAGCCAGGAGGAGGACGATGAGGAGAACGATGAGGTCGATGAGGAGGGGATTCAAGCGGCAGCTGCGGCCTCCACTGCCGCCAATTCAAAGGTGGCGCCCGCGCGTACCGCCGCCCCCAACAACAACAAGACCCCCTCCCATTGGTCAGTTTGATCGTGACGTCACCGTCAAACCTGCGGTCCCATTGGTCAATAGCCGTTCGCTCGCGTGGCGGTTGGAGCGAGTCGCGGGGTCGGTAAGGAGCGGAGCGGAGTACGCGACGACGGAGCCCGGAGTCGTCGTTTCGGTAACGACGGAGCCGGAGTCTGCGGTGACCGCGACGACGGAGTGGAGTTCGCGACGACGGAACCGGAGTCGTCGTTCAGGTCACCCCGAAGCGCTTTCTCAATTGAACGAAAATAATATTTAGGGCCAATTTTTTTTTACTTTAAACTCTCGTGACTGCAGGAACTCATATTTGTGTTGCGATCGAAACGTCGTGATATTTTTATTCACTTTCTTTTTATTATTTAATTGTTATATTTTTTCTATCTACGTGACTTTACCGAAAGAACCATAGAATATGGTTAGGGTCAGTTTAACGCGTTGTAGTGAGTGGGCTTTCACGACCAATATTTACTCGTAATGTGGATTTTATGGGTTAGAATCAATGCGTCGTTAAACCCTCCACCACCCGACACGCGATTTTGGACGATTTTTGACCCCCCCCCCCCTCGTCACCCGGCGTCACAAAAAGTCAGAACCCCCCCCTCAAATATGACGTCACAAAGCTCTGCCCCCCCCCCCAAAAAAAACATATTTCGATTTAAAGCTTTCGTGACTGCAAGGATTCATCTTCTTTGGTTCTTTCGGTAAAGTCACGTAGAATGAGAATAAAATAATAAATTGTTAAAATAAAATAACACAATATTCTCACGACGTTTCGGCCACGACACAAGCGGCCTTCATCAGGTGATGTTGTAGAAGAAAACATTTATTAAAAAGTAAATTTAATCAAGCAGAACGTGTTGTCTATATTTATTTAAAGTTGCGCATTTTGATGTGACGTCACATTTCTCAACCCCCCCCCCCTCGTGACACATCGTCACAAATGTCTGACCCCCCCCACCTCTCCAGGTGCGTGACGTCATTTATGGACGGCCCCTTAGTTACTACTTCAGCACACACCCGGTGTGTGTGTTGGAGGGGATACAACATAATACAATCGATAAATAACTAATCGGAACATTATGTTGCTGCTGCTGCTGCTGTGTTGGCAGTGGGGCACAATTCATAACAAAACTTAACACGTTCGTCAAATGGCGACGTTTCAGGCAACAGCCCTTCTTCATAGCACATAAATACCAAAATATATAAGCAATGTACTGTGTCTCCTTCCGCGTACCTGTCTCTCTCACACAGAAAACAATCCAGGTATTGTTGGCATAACCCATCCGTCATGAGTCCAACAGCATTGATTCAACAGGCGCAAACTCTGGACCAGTTGCGAGCTTCGGTGTCTCATCAGCAGGCTCGCTTCAATCACAGCTGACGAACTGACAGACAATTTCAACCGAGAAGATGGATTCTGGCTTAGCAATCATTGGAAGGATTTGACAAACCATTTCGGGTCTTAATTTATTGTTCACGTTTACGGTGGCTTTCAGACCGCATCCATTATTTTCGTCTCCCCCCTCCTCATAGATGGACTCGTCCATCTGAACAAACTGTCAAATCGCTCTCCGTGGTGCTAACGTTAAAAAATAACCGCCACTTTTTTCAAATTTAATTGCTGTGGTTTTCACACCTGTTGATGATTGCTTGTGTTGCAGTCGAAACGTCGTGAGAATTTTATTGTTTTAAATTATGTTTTAAAATTATTTTATTGTTTCCCTTCTACGTGACTTTACCGAAAGAACCAAGAATATGAACTGACAGTTCTAGAGGCAATGATACTCGCTTCATACTGTGGGTCCGAGTTCCACGCAAAATGATACAACAGTTCAATCTAGATTTGAAGTTTTCGTGACTGCAGGTGATCCATACTCTTTGGTTCTTGCTGGAAAGTCACGTGGTAGGTATAAAATAAAATAAATTTAATCACGACGTTTCGGGCGCAACACAAGCGTCCGCCATCAGGTGGGACAACCACAGCAAGAAGCAATTGCGCCCGAAACGTCGTGATTTAATTCATTTTATTTTATACCTACGTGACTTTACCGAATGATAGGGCAGTTATACCAGAGTGCTTCACAATTTTTTTTTAAAACACTTCTGAGAATTTTCAACAACACCACGAGAAAATGTGCTTCCTCCGGGGTTTGGAGACCACTTCGAGAAGATTCCAGGCACGTGTTGACAATGATGGCGAACAAGTGGAGACTCTTTGACTATTTGAAGCTATTAACATAGATTTGTTATCATTTTGATTTAAAGCTTTCGTGACTGCAGGGATTCATATTCTTGGTTCTTTATATATTATATATTTTTTTTATATTTTTTATTGTTTCCCTTTTACGTGACTTTACCGCAAGAACCAAGAATATTTGTTATACTGTTGCAGTGTATTATGACATTGATGGCGAACAAGTGGAGACTCATTGAAGCTATTAACATACATTTGTTATCATGTTACAGTGTATTATTAGTTTTTTTCCCAATAAAAACGATAGTCCCATGTAAATGTTAAAACATTTTTAAAGCACCCTGTGTGTATACACACCATATAAATCATGTAATCATGCAATATTTAATTACATCAATATTTGTTTTTAAAGTGGATTTCCAAAGGGACTGAACATTTGCGGCATACATTTTGACTGCATATTGACAGCATTGTAAAACAGAAAAGAGTCGAGATTGAAAACTAATTTCTTTAGAACTGCTTTTTATGTTTAGTTCAATCTTGATTTGAAGCTTTCGTGACTGCAGGAATCCATACTCTCTGTTTATTTCGCTAAAGTCACGTAGTTAGAAAGAATTATAATAAAAGAACACTGTTCTTTTATTATTGTTTTATTATTTTGTATGTTTAGTTCGTTTATCCTTCCCCCGGCACCTCCGATTATGAGCACGGTTGACTACGTACGGTGCGAAAGAAGTTCAACGTATGTATGTATGTTGGACTTCTTCAAGAGGTGCCAGGGAAGGACAACAAACTGAGTGACCCATCTAAACATGCGATGGTGTTCCAAAGAAGGACTCTGAAGCTGATAAATTGCCACAAATATGGATTATGAGCACGGTCGGTTACGTACGGTGCGAAAGAAGTTCAACGTACGATGTGGATTGTCAATGAACAAATAAAAAAAGAATTTTCCCCAGCACAGAGAGAAGACGCGCGGGTGACCACCGTTCAGTGGTTTGCGATGAGACTGGCAACTTCCAGTAGGTGGCAGAGGCTGACGGTCCTTCCTTTGCGTGTGAAGGATCGCTGATGACAAACACAAATCCGCTGCAAGGCAGCGATACACCCTACACAGAGATAGGTGGGACGGGGAACGGGGAGCGGTGGCGCAGTAGTTAGCACACTCCGCTCAGAATCAGACACTTTATTGAGACTGGAGGAATCCGATGAGCTATGAAGCTCTTTTTTTCACAGATGTCAAGTATGTGTGTACTACTGTGTGTACTGCTGTGTGTACTGTGTGTACTGCTGTGTGTACTGTGTGTACTGCTGTGTACTGCTGTGTGTACTGCTGTGTGTACTGTGTTGCACTACTGTGTGTACTGTGTGTACTGCTGTGTGTACTACTGTGTGTACTGCTATGTGTACTATGTGCACTGCTGTGTGTACTGCTGTGTGTACTACTGTGTGTACTGTGTGTGTACTCCTGTGTATACTGCTGTGTGTACTGTGTGTGTACTGCTGTGTGTACTGCTGTGTGTATTGTGTGTACTGCTGTGTGTACTGCTGTGTGTACTGCTGTGTACTACTGTGTGTACTGCTGTGTGTACTGTGTGTACTGCTGTGTCTACTATGTGTACTGCTATGTGTACTGCTGTGTGTACTGTGTGTACTGCTGTGTGTACTACTGTGTGTACCGCTGTGTGTACTGCTGTGTGTACTGCTGTGTGTACTGTGTGTACTGCTGTGTGTACTACTGTGTGTACTGCTGTGTGTACTGCTGTGTGTACTCTGTGTACTGTGTGTGTACTGCTGTGTGTACTGTGTGTGTACTGCTGTGTGTACTATGTGTACTGTGTGTGTACTGCTGTGTGTACTGCTGTGTGTACTGTGTGTACTGCTGTGTGTACTGCTGTGTGTACTGTGTGTGTACTGCTGTGTGTACTATGTGTACTGTGTGTACTGCTGTGTGTACTGTGTGTACTCTGTGTACTGTGTGTGTACTGTGTGTACTGCTGTGTGTACTGTGTGTGTACTGCTGTGTGTACTGTGTGTACTGCTGTGTGTACTACTGTGTGTACTGCTATGTGTACTGCTGTGTGTACTCTGTGTACTGTGTGTGTACTGCTGTGTGTACTGCTGTGTGTACTGTGTGTGTACTGCTGTGTGTACTGTGTGTACTGTGTGTGTACTGCTGTGTGTACTGTGTGTGTACTGCTGTGTGTACTGTGTGTGTACTACTGTGTGTACTGCTGTGTGTACTGCTGTGTGTACTGTGTGTGTACTGCTGTGTGTACTGCTGTGTGTACTGTGTGTGTACTACTGTGTGTACTGCTGTGTGTACTGCTGTGTGTACTCTGTGTACTGTGTGTACTGCTGTATTTACTGTGTACTGCTGTGTGTACTGTGTGTACTGCTGTGTGTACTATGTGTACTGTGTGTGTACTCTGTGTACTGCTGTGTGTACTGCTGTGTGTACTGTGTACTGCTGCGTGTACTGTGTGTGTACTGCTGTGTGTACTGTGTGTGTACTATGTGTGTACTGTGTGTACTATGTGTACTGTGTGTACTGTGTGTGTACTGCTGTGTGTACTGTGTGTGTACTGCTGTGTGTACTGCTGTGTACTGTGTGTACTGCTGTGTGTACTGCTGTGTGTACTGTGTGTACTGCTGTGTGTACTGCTGTGTGTACTGTGTGTGTACTGCTGTGTGTACTGTGTGTGTACTGCTGTGTGTACTGCTGTATGTACTGCTGTGTGTACTGTGTGTGTACTGCTGTGTGTACTGCTGTGTGTACTGTGTGTGTACTACTGTGTGTACTGCTGTGTGTACTGCTGTGTGTACTCTGTGTACTGTGTGTGTA